CAGATCAAAGGTGCCGACAGAGAGTGGGCATACTGGTTATACTGTGGCACCAGTGTGCACTAGTTCAGGAGTGCAGCAATAAAGAACAGACCCTATACTGTGACTGAACTAGTGCAGTCAGTGCAGTTAAGAAAAAAACCGGCCCGAGAACAGACCCATGGTCGAAGGGGGACTTAACCTAAAAGACTCTTCCTCTTCGAAAGGGAAAACAGATAGCTACGAAACGCGGAAACGGGGGCTCCGACTCTTCGAGTGACAAGAGTGACAGGGTAACGAGTGTCGTACCGCGTTGCGATCCGAGACCATGTACGCGGCGAGCGCGCGCGCCGGTGTTGCCCGCGTGTTCCACGCGCGCCGGGGGCTGCACGGCAACGCGGAATCGGTCGAGGCGTGCACGGAAATCGTGAACCGAAATCCGCGAAACTTGGAGCGGCTGAGGATAGCGAGGAAACCCATGGGTTATTACCTCAACAAATCCGGGCACACGTACTGGCACAAGTAAGTCTTTCGAGTCCCAGCAATGTCGCGACCTTCGTTAAACGGTCCAACCGCTACGAGCGAACGAAGACGTGCATTCTCCTTTTCGTCACGGTGAATTTAATCGCGCTGCCAATTTACAGGTTGTTCCTTGTTAAGAAACCGCGCTACATCACCGCGGAAGTCCGCCACTTCGAGAACGGACCCGTCGTCACAGCCTCCAGTGGGGAATGGGCGCTGAAGAGGCAGTTATATCGGTACAAGATTCAGTCCAATAATCTGTTGGGCCCGAGGCTTGTTTTCTGTTGCTACACTGGTGAACTAGTGCAGTAAATTGGACTAAGACCCGGTTACAATGGGTTGTTAGTCGGAAGTCAGAACTATGTGTCGATCCTTTTTCTTCCACCCAAAAAGGAAAAGGATCAACATATGGTTCCGACTTCTGACTAACAACTCATTGTAGACCAGGACTAAGACAAATATATTTTTTCTCATTCTAGCTGACTGCACCAGCTCACCAGTGTAGCGATAGAAAACAAGCCTCTGGTCTACAATGACCTAGTTACACCGTTAAATCAGTTTGTACATGCATCGAGTTGGTGCGGATTAAACATTTGGCGCGTTCCTGTTTATACCGATTAATTTTCAAACAGGTCCGGGTAGGTTTTTAGTAAAATTCCAGATAAAGTTCTACTTCTGCGAACTGAGCAGTAGCGCTACTAGATGCATCCAATCTGAATCTAACAATGGTACACGAACTAAGCAACCGAAGCGTTTACAACACGCTAGAATTTTTTTATACGCCTACCAACCTGGTCCGATACTCGTGATACAGGAGTATCGGACCAAAGCACTTAAGCAATCTATGTGTGTTTATACCGCGTGTATTAAACAACTTAATACGAACATAATACTTAGTATGTGTATGAAATGCTCAGTATAAACTAGGTCAATGAGTTAGTCGTTAGAAGTCAAAACTATATTACGTTGGTCCTTTTTCCTTCACTTAGAAAGAAAAGGGCTGGACATACAGTTCCGACTTCTGACTAACGACTCATTGTAGGCCGGCCCTTATTCAGCTTCTCGTCCAGTCTTTCCGTTCTGTTGACGTAACGCAAACGTTTCAGATGCGGTGACATCTCAGCTTACATTAATGTGGGACGAGTGTTGGCTCGGCGTTGCCTGGAGGCTGGGATCTGCGAAATGAAGGTTGACCCTGAGTTAACTGGAGACAAATGTGAATTGTTGCTCGAAGAATTGAGAAAAGGTAATATCATTCTGAGCGAACCATTGGTGTACAGGTTTCCGACTTGTTGGTCCAAGCACTGGCCGGAAAAGCCGTGGGAGATCCACGAATAATCTGCTTTGTCTCCTATATAGCGATGTGCGAACGGACTATAAAGTGTAGAGTGCGCGTCGTGCTTTTCCGTGGAAACCGAATAAGGTGAAACTCAGTGGTCGATATAAGATATTTTATTATCTTAGCGTCTATCCACTGTGAAATGCCGAATTTTGTACATTACAGTATCTAGGAGTAAAAATAAATAATTGTATCGCTGTTAAATAAATGCCTAGACTATTAGAGATGTAATGCTGTTACTTAAAAGCTACATCGTACCTAAGGCAAGTACATTCCATCAGACATGGTCTGCGATGCAAGTGGAATGTTGTTACGTGACTCTTATCATAATGACTGTAATAGAAAATTTAAGTTAAGTATATGTACATGTACAGATTGATACAGAAATGATTCTGAAAATTGATAAATTTGTTTAGTGATGAGTAGCGGTACATGTACCGGTTTACTGATATACAAACTCGGTCTACAACTCGAGATATTCCCGTGTCATTCTGTACATGTGAATTAAAAAAATAATTTTGGATTTTTTCAGCTTCCTGGAATTCTCTCTCTCTCTCTCTCTCTCTCTATCTCTCCCCCCCCCCCTTCTCTCTCTCGTCATCGACGTTTACGTACAATATATTCTATATTCGGACAGTTGATATCTTTACTCGCAATATTCTTAAATATCTTAAGTTCTCAAGTGGTCCGCAATAACGCTCGCTTATGCGCACTATTTTGCGGGGTGCAAAATTAAATCGCTTGCACTGAGCAAATAAATAAAAATGCAATGAACACTTTAAATAATTTACGTTACGACTATTCTTTTTATATATTAAGTAACTATTGTAGCATAAAGAATAGTGCAATTACGGATTCAAAATAACGTATCTGTGTCACGCCATATAATTAGAATAACCAGTCGATTGATAAATTCCTTTTAAAAAGATGTACAATAAAGCGACTTAATGCATCGAGATGCGAGAGGCGTGCATTAAGTTGCGTTTACAAAAGGTTGTTCGATTAGCTACATGCAGTCATTTAACAAGATTTAACATGAATTTTTCATGAAAGAGAGAAACGCGATTTAAGTTTATGTTCCGCTCGTCTCCGTTTAAAAAAAAATCGCGTCAATTTGACGATCGTAAATCGTTTGCGAAGCACTTAATTCCTACGAACACACAATCAAAAGTTTCTTTAAACTTTTTTTCTGTAGGCCACAAATAATTTACGACAAGAACTAATTTCTCGGGTAAAATACAGAGATTGCTTAATACTCTGGTAAAATTTATCTTTTAGCAGATTACATATCGCAGTAAAATATTGCATAAAAACATCCACGTACACGCACGCTCGCAGAAGAGAGAGGGTTTAACAAAAGTTTGTTTCACGAGTAGATTTTAAATTAAGAGAAGAAAATACGATTCAAAATTCATTGACTGTGAAACAATAATGCCGCCGTTACCAAAATACGACGTATCCTCGACAATGCGCGAGGACAAGTCCGGGAAGAAATTGTGGAAGAAAAACGAAATAAATAGTAGCGCGCTATTTGCAAGTGTGTATATCGATATTCTTCACGCAGGTCTTGCACTCGACGAAGCAACACCAGTGAAACTTGCACTCGCATCTCTCCCTGATCGTCGACTTCTGCGTGTTGTATCCCCTGCCGCAGCAAAGGAGATTGCAGCCGTCCATGCCGGACGAGGTTCTATTGCATAGTCTGCTCTGCGTGCCTGTTAAAAAACCGATCCTTCATAAAGCGTGTCTATGTAAGCATATCCCAGTGAGAAATGAGAACGATGTCGAATCAACATCAATTTGAAGGTGTCTTATTGCTAGATCTCTTCCAGAGTTTTTCTAACATAAAGTACTCGACGAAAGAATACAACATCCACGAGAGAAAGCTAGAGATACCTAGTGATCCCAGGGTGTCATTCGGGAGGCAGTAGTTGGGCGAATCGTCCAGGTAGACCAGGTCGTTCGCAGTGGGAACCGAGAACCTAGGATCGCGCATCGATAAGCGACCGCGCCGGTTGACCTTGACCTCGGTCGCACCGTCGTATTTGTCCAACAGAAAATCGCCTGAAAATACAAAATGCATTACTCGACGTGTTCCCGAACAACGCAACTGCCTACGACATCGTAAAAGCACCCAAAAGACATCTTAGCGATGTTATTTCGTGACATTTACTGCCCGTTTGTCCCAACGCAGTTTAACTTTAATCTCGGTTCACACACACAACTTACCCTAATAGCACAGTGCATTGACCAAACGTTTGGTTAAATATTCGTTAAAATTTGGTTGTATTGGGCCAATGTTTAGCCAATGCACTGTGCTACTAGGGTACTTCTAGTTTTACGAATTAGAAAAAGATAACAAGTAATTTAAACCGAGATTAAAGTTAATCTGCTTTGGTAGAAACGGGCATAAGACAGTTTCTTTCCAAATATCTTCAGTGATCGCAGAGGCATTGAAAAAAAGGCCCAAAGGCGTAACACGTCTTTTAAATTGTTTTTCAAGCTTCGCAGCGTTTGGAGATGAGGGACATTGAATCGCCAGACTTACCGATCTCGCGAAACGATGCGAGCTGCTGCCAGCAGGTGATCAGGCTGCAGCTTCCGGAAACGCCGTGACATTTGCACGTCACCTTGGACCTTTTGATGACGGCCTGCGGGGGATGTATGGTCGGCGCATTAGTTTCGTTTGCCGTCCTTTGGTTCAGCGAATTCGCATTAAATCGCGAGAAATCGATACGCGGATACGTTTGACGCGACGCGACATTTAAAGAGGCATTTCTCGCGCGCTAGCTAAGAAAAGAACGAACTTTACCCTGCGACCGGCCTCGTTGTTGTGCAGATTCATCAGGCTCCTGCCCTGCTCCCGGCTGCCCCTCTTAAAGCTGCGCTCCCGCTCCCGCACATCAACGAACGCCTGCGTGAATCTGAACGGACGTTCGTTCGCGTTAATTCATCGACAATCAGGTACCTTATCATGATCTTCGATCATTAGGTGTCTCGTGAAAGTTTGAAGATGAATTGTATTGGTTATATTAATTTTAATATTATATAATAGAGGAAAGAGAGAGAGAGAGAGAGAGAGAGAGAGAGAGAGAGAGAGAGAGAGAGAGAGAGAGAGAGAGAGAGAGAGAGAGAGAGAGAGAG